TTCGCAATTCATTAATTATCTCTCATCTTGTCAACACAAAAAAAAAAGAACACGAAAGGTAATTTTGTATTCTTGTACAATCTTATGCGCAATATGTATGTTACGATTGCCGTGTCATACCGAATGGTCAGGCGCATTTCCCTATGCCTACCCCATTCTAAAAAAGATACACAAGTCCTTTTGTAAACCTGAGCTCTCGGATGATTTTGACCGCGGCGCTGAGCTGTAAACAATAAAAAGAAAAAAGACGGTACGCCCATCACCTGCTGCCGCGACGCTGCGCAGCTGCTGCTCCTTATCCCTGATCCCGCGTGGCGCTCGCTCGTGATGCTCGCGCCTCCGCCACCATCACACACATGATGGTCGTATCTCCGCCACCATCTCACGCATGATGCTCGCACCTTTGCCACTATCTCACACTTGATGCTCGCATCACCGCCTCCACCACATGCATGATTTCCACACCTCCGCCACCACAACTCGCATGACGGTGCTCGCATCTTCGCCCCCACCACACGCATGATGCTCACACTTCCGCCCCCACCACACACTTGATGCTCGCACCACCACCACCACCACCACCATCATCATCTCACTCTTATTGCCCCTCCGCCAACACGCCGCATCTACACACAGCGGCAGCACGCTCGCCAGGAGCGTAAGTCGCCATTAGCAGACAGCTGGCAAACGAGCGCGGCGTGCTTGCTGCTCGGGCGTGCGCGCCAAAACTGATCGTAAAGCATCGAGCTTCACTGCATGGGCACCGAGCGCAGCATGTCAGCAACTAATGATCAATTACGACAACGAACGTGTAGCAACCGTCCTTACTTCTTGATTTAGTATACTAAAGAAACAGGCTCAATTTTTGTCAACTTGGTTAGATAAATTTTACTCATGTGCAGTTCATCAAGAGCCCTGTAACCGAAAACAATAAAACTGTATTGCCGTATTAAATTAACCTTAGCATCTACCTAACTTCTGCGTATTTCGTTAACTTCCGATCAGGCATTAGCGACTAGGATCGTTACAAACGTTAGTTTCTCCGTTGAATTACGGTAATATCGCTGCACTGCAAGTGGCCGGCATGGGGGACGGAATGACGGAATTATAAACGGAATGACGGATATTTGATGGATTTGTGAAGTCTATAAGATCTGTAAATCGGGACTGTGATCTGGGCACTACCCAGGCTCTAGATAAGAACCGAGAGTGGCCGACAGCTGGCCGGCGACGTGCCAGAGCTGATGCTGGTGTCAGCAGACACGCGTGCCCAAAACTATCCTGATATTAGGTTTTTAATTGCATGGATATCAATAACACTCCCAATTATATCTTATTTATTTAAAGGTGCTGGGACACAGTGGCACGTTTCTAATTTTTTTTTTATTTCACTTACAAAGTTTTGCAAGCAGCATAGTTCCCTACATACATTGAGCAAACGCATCCATACATACATTTCGGAAAGGGATCCTTACATTTTACAATCGAATCTTCGCACCAAAGACTTCATTCATGCATTGGGTAAATGGATCCATAAATACAGTGCGCAAATATATCCATTCATACATTGTCCTAATGGAAACGGCGGATTAGGAGTAACACGACAATAACTATATTTTAATCGGTGCTGTATATCCAATGCAAGATAATTCGAAATAGAGAGCAGATTCTATATGTTCCTACAAACACCACTTAACCATACCCCCATGCCGGAATCATTCTTGATAAAACTGTTTATTAATATCATTCAAGGAACTACGTTCATTTAGACCTAGAAGCTAGAACTCTCAAGTTCACATATACTCAACAACGTACAATCAACCAGTTTGCACGTCTGTGGTCTAGTAACTCTAGTTGATCTCATGATAAATAATGCTGTTTAAATTAGGGAGCGACAAACAATCGATTGCGTGAGGAAAAGTGTCTTATTGGCTAGTGGCTACAAGGTACGGTTAATCAATTTATAAGGTCGCTATTACGCCTAAATCTGTTGAACTACTTCATATTTCATTGCGGCATCCATTACATCAGATAAAAACTGATTCAACTATTCATCTGCATTGACTTAAACAGGGTCAGAGTATCTTTCCATCTGTAATATTCATTGCATTCATCGAGCAGAGGAAGCTCTAGCTATTATTCAGCGAATCCTCCCATCATTCAACCAGGATTTGTAAAATTTTTTATTAAAATAAAGCCAAGCATTCTCAACGCAAATGCTGCTCAGCTTATCCCCTACGAAGTGCATTAAAAAATCCGTCCGACCCGTGAAGCCCACAGTGAGCATCAAGGGCTTTCAAGGCCAGCACAGCAGCAGCAGCAGGGCGCGTCTTGAGAAGTGCTGCGACAACCGGCAATCTGGACCCTGAGCAGCTGTCGTAATGCGCGCCATCACCTGCCCCTGATGCCACGTTCCCGGGCCTTCCTTCCAGAGCCAGGGTATTTAAAATAACCTGCGGCAATTCTTAATAGTGAGCACATATCGCTGTACTACATTGACATGAACATGAGTTCCGTAATGTTGACTTCAATGACGGATAACACAAATACTGTACCAAAATATTATCTAAAATAAATACTAGTATTCCCATTTATGCTAAAGGAATGGATATGTTTCACGTGGTACGCGATAATCAGACTGATATTAAAAATAAACAGTTGATCCAACATCGGAAGTCAGTGGAGTGGAAAAATTTAAGAACGTATCACCATCAGCCAATAGTCTTGCCCATCGCAGATGTAGAATCCTAATTTGATATCGTCGTAGGTCATGCGAACACGTGCTTGATATGAACAATTCAGAAGCTCAAGATTACTTTCGTTAAACCCTCATAATTGCATAAGCCACTTAAGATTTAAAAAAAGATTTTCGTTCATTTGTTTTTGTGTTCAGGAACCTTTCAGTCCAGAATTAGGGCAAAAATAATTTATAAAGAATTCTAATGACAGTTGCGTTTATGGTAAGTGCATGAATAAAGCCATGGAATAAAGCTACCTGACAAGCTGTCGACAATAACTAAAACAACAAACCGTGGAATTATAACTCGAAATTTATAATTCTAAATAGTTTAAACAAAACCGGTTAATAGACCCGACAGTGTTGTTCTTAATGGTTTTTGTTCCATCTGCAACTCTGTATTTATATGAGTTCCTTTATAGAAACGAATCATCATCAAATTGATTTTTGGAAGCAAAATTAATTTTGAATGAGAATGAATCTGGTTACTACAGTGTTAACAATTACGGTTCTTCTAATAGCATACAAAGTGAAGACAGCATGAAAAATAATTCATACGCACTGTTTGAATCACTTCCAAGGTTAAAACCTTCAGCCCTCGAAGATGTATGCAGCTATGTTGTCGTCACCGTAAATTGTCATACCCAGAATAGTCTCGCTAGTACCGCAGAAGTCGCGAGCAGACTAGAGTTAGTTTTTGGCTATTAGTACTTCTGTGACGTTATAGGGCAGGCGTCTGTAGTACCTTAAATGTATCTGGGCATCCCAATATTATAGCCTCATGACCGCACCGAAGTATTGAGCTGACCAGAGTTTGTTTTCCACAGAGATGATCTTGAGTCCTAATTAGCTGCCGCTGCTGCTGCGCATGCGGCCGCGAAGAGAAGGCTTTACGACTCGTGTGGTCCGCTCTGCAGTGGAGACTAGACAGAGCCAACCGCGTCGTTGGTGGCCGCGAGCAAGCGCCTTGGTTAACAAATAAACACTAACCTTTTCTAGCGATGTATAGAGAGACGAGCAATTCCTTCGAATAGAAATAGTTGTAAACGTATTGAGAGTTTGAAGTGGTCGAGTCTAGCCTTTAATTGTTTACTTGTGTCTTTTTTTCAAATTTATGATTAATCGGAGGATTTTGTTCATGAGGCACTTGAGGAACATAATTTATGATTTGTGAACGCAACTGCCGCTAACATGTAAGTGAAGAGGAAAGTCTACTAGCTGCAGTAGTAACGCGAGTCTAGCAAACCACAAGAAGGTTAAATTGAGTCAATCGCATGTGAAGAGTCGTATTAGAGTTGTCATGGATATGTTTTTGATGACATCTCAGTGAAATCCTTATCGTCAGGGCCGAGTGTTACAAAGAGGATTTCAACATACGAGTGTATGGATTAAGAGTTATATTTGTGGCCGACGGCTGCGCTCCAGAGCCCCTCTAGGTATAAATCGAACCGATTAATGTCATATTCGGTTACTAACTCATTATTAAACAGCTTTATACTTATTCCGATGCATCAACTGAACAATCCGAGTAGCATTCAGAAATGAAACACTCAAATCATAATTACGCTGAAAACATGTTTTTCTTTCGAAATTTCATCGTCAATGAGAAAACTGAGAAAATCGTTTGATTGGAAAATCTACCGAAGTAGTCATTTGACAAAGATATTCGTACGGAAATAAAGGTTAGTTCAAAAATTCATTCTTCAAACCATTCAATTTAGCATGCATAATATTTGGGAATTAATTGGCTCATTAAAAACCATAATATTTCATTACTGACCTCTGTTTTGTTTCCGTCTCAATGCCATTCATGTTTCATCTTCTAGTCACTGCTCACTGGATGCGTCCACTGTCACCTAGTTTCGCAATCTCTTTGAGTTAGGAGCGTCCATCATTCGGACAGGGAGCAATGTCAACACCGCGCCAGTCGAACAGTAAAAAGTTAGTTTTTACTTAGTCAGTTTTTACTGTTATCATTTACCTAATTCACCGTCATTGTCTGAAATGGAGGCCGCAAGTAAACTTTGATGATTGATTTCAAATTTAAGAGGAAGTGAAGCGTTTCATCTTAGATTAAATAGATGTTTTGTAAAGTTTCTTAGGTATGACATGAGCTCCTTTCGTGATTAACTGGCTGCTTCCTCCTGTCTGCTGCAGCCATCGCAGCATCACAAGCAGGAATTTCCCGAAATGAGCATGACGAGCAATCGAGCATCAGCATCTCGTAGAGTGTAGACTCGTAGTTTCAGTAGAGCGTCGGCGTTGGTGGGCGAAGGTTGTGCGGATACTTGCTGGAGTCTAGATCACTGGATGGGTGTGTTACTGCTAATGCTAGACTTCACGCGTGAAATTGTGTAGTGGTTCCTTGAATAGTGAGAAATACTTATAGTGATGAACTGATTGTGACGAAAAATATTTCGTAAAAGAATATTCAATCTCATGAAAATTATGTAATGAGGTGAGTTCTGAAGTACAGTAGCCTGGAAGTTGAAAGATTATTTTAGCATCTTGTGGCAAAATGTGGCGTGTAGTCGTGTTCTACGGTAACCATCTTGATTCGTGTCCTATACGTTGTCCTCGAAATATTTCTCTTTATTGTTGACATTTTTCGAACGCATGTATTTTGAATACAATAAAATTTTATGATATGAAAGAGAAGACTTTTTGATGCAAGTTGATAAGTGTATCACTCAAATTTTGATCTTAAAAAATTAATTTCTGTCTAATTTTGTGTGAAGGATAATAATCTCATTTATCTGTGGAACGTTCCACGGACACGAAGTTAAGAGTCTATCACGTGCCATCATTATTAGATAACTGAAACTTGCGTAACCGAATATTGTTCACTGATTTCACTCTTGATCCTCTTGGGTTGAAACGAGACGCCAGTCTGCGACCAGAATATAGACAGCACAGCTTAATCTTCACTTCTTGTCGTTGATGTGGATCCGAAATTCGGAAATATAGGCTAGGATGTCATGCATGAACGAAATGCCCCATAGTTTTCAATCGTGTTTCTTCCTAGATAGGCTACCTAGTCTAATCAGTAATTTTTATTTTAGGAGTCTCGAAAAAATTATGTCAAGTTACCAGAATTTGATTAAAAATAAAAAAAAATACTTATCTGAGAGATTTATATGCATAATGTCCTTATTTCAACATCCCATTCGCTAACGGAACTCTTTTTTTCAATAAGACCTAAAATTTTAAAGGCGTAGAAATTTTGTGACATTCTCTATTAATGTAATATTATTAATGCGTTCCACAAGGCACAAGAAGTACCTTAGCTCTAACGATTGAGCTGCAATGCTGTCTCGTAACATGAACACAACTTGGCTAGTTCATGTGCTGAGTTGCTGACACTAAATCAGAGTCCCATTATTACCTCAAGTGCTGACGCCTGACGCTGCAGCTACGCGGTTAGTGTTTGAGCTGAAGCAGTGTTAGAGCTGAAGCAGCGTTAGAGCTGAAGCAGTGTTCGAGCTGTAGCAGTGTTCTGGCTGAAGCAGTGTTAGAGCTGAAGCAGCGTTAGAGCTGAAGCAGCGTTCGAGCTGAAGCAGTGTTCGAGCTGAAGCAGTGTTCGAGCTGAAGCAGTGTTCGAGCTGTAGCAGTGTTGGAACTGAAGCAGCGTTCTGGCTGAAGCAGCATTTCGCCGCTGTGAAATGAAGTGCTATTCAGCATCCGGAGCTTGCGCTTCACGCCAGAATGTCATGAATATCTTAGCACTCCTCGCACCCGGCGGTGGTGCGAGCCTGCAGGCGCTGAAAGATAATCCCTGAGGTTGCTTGCAGTACAAAATATGCGCCAGGAAATTCGTCTTTCCCCTCTTGTTAAAATAACGTCATCTATTTTTTTAGGTGAAAAAAAGTTTGCAATTTCCTTGGTAATTTGGAAGAAACTCTACAAGGGGAAGATCATAGTAACGCCATTCTGGCGGTAATCGTGCAATCGAGGAGATAATCTTAGCTCTATATGACAGACGATTTCCTAACCTTTGCCCCAGCCATGCAACCTAAACCTCACTTACGGCCACTTCTGGGCATTTATAATGGCTTTATAACAACTGCACGATCTTTAAAGTGGCTTCATATCAGCTGCAGGATATTTATAATGACTTTATAATTACTAATTTTCTCTCTAGAGGGAGCTCAGCGCATCCTAAGCTGAACAACTTATAGTCACTTACGAAGTACGTCCGGGAAGCCGCGGCGCCGAAATGATAATGACGCGCAGCCCTTATTTATGCCATCTCTTGGCATAAGTGGCAACTCAAGGCATAAGTGGAAACCTCGTGACATAAGTGGCAACTCGTAGCATAAGTGGCAATCGTGGCAGAAGTGGCAACTCGTGGCAGAAGTGGCAACTCGTGGCAGAAATGGCAACTCGTAGCATAAATGGCGAGCATTCCCTTTTTATTTTTGTATTATTTTCGTAGTCTATCTCTCTCGATCGTCACACATGAATGAACTCTTTCTGGTTGTATACGAAACCGTATACGGTTTTTATATTACTATTATGTACTTATGTATCATAAATATTTATTACGGTCGCATGACCGTTAATAAACGAGTCATCACTGCACTTCCGCTCCGAGCACCATTGGCATCTCATCGCTGCCACTTATCATTGCTTGTGTCACTGATCACTGCTTGCCGCCACTAACTATTGCTTGCCAGCGCTGATCAGTAACTGCCGTCACTGCTCATTGCTTGCCACCGCTGATCAGAAATTATCGCTACTGTTCAATGCTTGTAACCATTTACAATTCCTTGCCGCAACTCATAGTTACCTGCCGCTCCTAATCATTGTCTACTGCCGCGTATTATTGCATGCGGCCACTTATGCTTCCTCTCTGTTTATTCCCTTCTGATCGTACCCCCTGTTCTTCCCTCCCTCCGACATTGCCGAGGTCGGCGCTCGGCGTTATCAGCGTCGCGCATCTCCTGCAGCGGATGCCATCCCGAGCTCCTGCTGCGCTTTTTTCGTTGCTGCGCCACTTTATGGCTTCCGTGACACATCACTTAACTGATTACGCTCCTTACATGGTGCTTTGTTGCGCCTACTGTTTATTGTGTGTGCTTTCTGTGTGCTCTTGTGTAGTTTGTGGCACTGTGTGTTCTTGTGTAGAGTGTGTTTGTGTGTGTGTGTGTGCTCTTGTATGATGAGAAACATCTCGTTTGCATTGTTTGCAGCGAAATTTTCGGCGCATGCTTGATGCTTATCATCATGCTTGATGATGACCTCATGCTTGGACCTCATGCTTGATGCTTATTTTATACAAGACTGCAAACTCGATGGCTTAGTGGAAGGTTTGGTAGAATTCATGGAACTAAATTTCTGTTGAAAATCCCGTGATAATGTCATGCGACTGAATTTCTGTAGTAAAGGTTTAGCAAATTTCACACTTGAGCAAACGTGAGCATGAGGAAAATCTTCGGTAATTCCGTGTTAACACTGCCGTGTAATGAACCAAAATGTTACAACTAAAGCAAAATTGTGACTAAATTGATCCTAAGGCAATTAATTATGTATATTTAAATTATTGGCAGTAAAATTCATGCAAGAAAATGCGTGCTTCATGCAAGATCATGCATGTTTCACACAATATCTTGTCTGTTGCATACAAGTTCACGCTTTATTCATGCAAGAACATTCGGGTTTATGCAAGAGCACTCGTGTTTCATGCAAGATCATGCGTGTGTCATGCAAGATCACTCGTATTTCATGCCAGATCATGCGTGTTTTATGCAAGATCATGCTTGTTTTACTCATGATCACTAAAAATTACTAAGCACAGTACAGAAGCCATCTTCTCCGTGGCCCCAACGTTGGCTCTCATTAGGCGGATCCTATTCTCACTCGCGAAGTCTTTTCCTTTTCGCAAGAATTCTCCCTAAAAGTGCTTCTTTTGTAAGAGCCCTCGCTAGTAAGTGATGCGTGGTTGTAACTGTAACCTCGTTACGCAGAGCAGCTCTCACCCTCATTAGGGTTCTGGTGTGATGGAACACCGTAAAACCCTTACCCTCATTAGGGTTCTGGTGTGAGGGAACACCATACAACCCTTACCCTCATTAGGGTATGGCCGCAGTTCCTTTATGGGCATTTCCTAAGCGCTTGTCAGGCCCCTTACTCGCGTCATGCGGCACTCTGAGAGTTACAGAAACTTGACTATTCCCCGCAGCTAAGTTTTGTCGTCTTTAAGTGATATTTTCATCGCCTTATATGTTGCGAAGTATTTTTTTTTACCGCCAAACTTCTATCATTATTCTCGTGCATGAAAAGTTTGATTTCGTGAAATCTTTTGACAATTATCTCACGGCACTCGACATTCAATTTTTATGACGAGTTCGTTCGATATAAGCAGGATGTAATCTCTCTGCAGTCTTTTTTATGAGAACTGGGTTAGGCGGAAATATATACGCTCTCTGAATACATTCTAGAGTTCTGTCTTGAGATTCCTTAGTGAAGGATGAAAATTGCCGTTTTTTTTCTTATAAAATTTGGCGCTAAGCATCTTTGCTCACAATAGCTCCATTTTCAAATGCTCCATTTCCATTTTTCTACTTTCTTCTCTTCCTTTCAAACGAACTCTTAATACGTAAAAATCAGTTATGGCATCTGAAATTGAAATATTTTGAAGTAAATCCGTCAGCTTTTCGCATGTTCGGCGCTGCAAGGTTGAAGTGTTACCGCGTAGAATAGGGAGTATAGCTAGGCGAATCTCAGCTCAGTGCTGAGCGCACGAGGGGAGAGTAATTCCCACGCTTTGCGTATGTCCCTCGCTTGTTCCCTCGCGTCTGGCGGTCGATGGTTACGCTCACTTTTTATGGGCCTGTACAAAAAGAAGCTACCCTCGTGGCTGATCAGGCCACGTGTTCTCCCTGTAACTTGTAGAGAACTTTAAACCGATTTCATGACTGCTGCTAGAACCTGTAGTGAGCGGAACAAACTGACGCACGTTTGAATGGAAGTGGTAACAATAAGAACCAAATGTTTACATGAATTTATATGACGTACTCTGGCGATTCTTAGGCTAATGCACTCAATTTATTCAAATTTACCCGATGAAATATTGCTACTGCTTAGACCGAGTTCATCTCTTTCAGTAGATATTTGAGTCCTTTGTTTGGCTCGCCATTTATAGTCGCTAAACTGCCGTTTTCTCTAAGTTAACTTTTCATATGAGATGCGACTCTTGAACTACCGTAGTTGTGTTGCTTCATGCTGGTTTCCGTGACCCGTGACGCGTGTTTCTAATTCAACGTCACTCAACAGACGATTATTGTATGCGGGAAGGAATAGTTGAGGTGGTCGAAATGTTGCAATGTCTGAAGCGCTGTCATGTCGTGACAGAGACGCCAGTCCCTGTGGGGTTTTTGTAACCCCAGGCTGACAGGGAGGGAAGAGGGGTCCAGATAAGACCCTGAGGGGTTGGTAAGGGTTGGCACCCCCTCCCCACAAGAGGGGATGACAGAGACAAGCACACAGCGCCTCAGCATCCCAATGAAGAGAGCATTGATCACAGCCCCGCGGGTACAGGGAGAGAAGGGGATGCCCTCAGGACAGCTGGGGAGTTGGTTGTCCAGGCTCTAGACGTAGCCCACAGACCGTCTTGTGGGTGCAATGTTACACAAAAGTTTCTTAATTTGTGTGAGTTGCTTTTGTTGGATTTGGATTCCGTCTTGATCTTAAAATACCATAAAGCCATAGTATAGTATCTTCGGCATTGAAGAATAGGCCAGGATATGCCTGTCGCCTATTCATGTACTTTTCTTGACTAGACTGGCCTTTTGATCAAATATTTTCAACGGACGGTAGGTTTAAAATCGAGATCGCATATGCATTATTACACGATTTGTTTTACTTGTTCTCGGTTCTTGAGGTGCTGAATATACATACAGCTTTTGCTTGAATTTTCACATGCTTGTCCGTGAGTCGCACTGGGTATCTATCAGTATTATCCAAAAATTTATCCACCCCAAGATCGCTTTAATAACTCATGAATTGCTCTACAACTCATAAGTTACTCAGCTAATCAAATAAGAAAATTGAGTTCGTTGTAAATTACATTACATATGGACTTTATATATATATATAGCCGCGAGATCACCGGTCTGAAATGAATGCCCAATTAATATACCTCCATCGTATATACGATTGAGGTATATACTGCGCAGGTTATATTATATGTATTATATATTAGTATTAGATGACAGAATTTGCTTGTCTATACACGTGCGATTAATGACCAGAAAATTCGTTGATTTAAATCATCAGAGAGTGGAACAATTCATACTCGGTCGTGTACCTCGCACTCTATATGCATGTCTGAAATGAATGCCCGATGACATCATTACTTTCACAAGTACATCTTTTACCTGCTCAAGTAATTTTCATCTTGCAAATGAATAATTATACGAATTTATGGTTGATTGAAAGCGCTTCCTGCTGATGCGTTTGGTCTGAGTACAGAAGAATGAAAGAACCCGAAAATAACTTGACTCCCGAACTAAATTACTAAACCGTACTCAGCGACCTACATTTTGACCTCTTTGCGGTCAAAATGAAGAAAGCAAAAACCTAGTAAAATACTATGTATATTTCCGAATTACAATGAATTTTGTCGGTTCAAAATTTTTTCACCCAATTTCGTTTATTTACATAAACTTCGTAACTGTCTTATTAAATCAACATGTCCAACTCGCATCAGACTTCTCTATTCATCGCAACCTCCGCCATTACTTGCACCATTATCTTCCATTGCTACGACAGTACCTATTTGTACCGTTGCAAATACCTTCGTCAATTTCACAAGTCGTGCCATCCCGACCTTCCCGTGCCAGGTTCCCGCGCCAGGTTCCCGCACCTTTTCGTGCCAGGTTCCCGCACCCTCCCGTGCCAGGTTCCCGCACCCTCCCGTGCCAGGTTCCCGCACCCTCCCGTGCCAGGTTCCCGCGCCAGGTTCCCGCGCCTTCCCATGCCAGGTTCCCGCGCCTTCCCGTGCCAGGTTCCCGCATCTTCCCGTGCCAGGTTCCCGCACCCTCCCGTGCCAGGTTCCCGCACCTTCCCGTGCCAGGTTCCCGCACCCTCCCGCGCCAGGTTCCCGTGCCAGGTTCCCGCACCTCCCCATGCCGGGTTCCCGCGTCTCAGTGAAGGATCAGTTAGCGGAAATTGTTTGGATTTGAAGCGTCAGGCGCGGGAGTGCCGGTCGTTTGTCCTGCTAGGCTCCCTGAGCACTTGGGACGCAGCGGCCACTGCAGTGAATGCCGCAGCCTTGGACGCTCGCACTCACCGACTAGCCACGCTCACATCCATTGCCTTATTACAATCCTGTCCCTATCACATTCACTGCTTTATTCTCCGTTTTGTGATATTACCCTTATTGTCATATTACTCTTCTTGTCCTATTACCCTCTTCCTTATGTCACATTGGATTCATAAACTTAGGCATAATATTTCCTTACCATGCGGTACTTATTCTATTGATTTACATAACGTATAATAATACTGACATAAAATTATTTATCTTTTAGTAACATTTAATTAATACCCATGCGTACATCATCACATTCCTTACCTCAATACGTACTTGAATTACTCTTGTATCTGGCGTACCCCTCTATCTTGCTTAAATAATCACATTGCTTACCTCGCTACTCTGTTTACCTAATTATCTTGATACCTTGCTTACATCACGACTTTACTTACCTTCTGACTTTACTTACCCACTGTCCTCGCTTACCAAGTTACCTTATTATCTTGCTTACGGTACTACCTCTCTACCTTACTTATCTCATTATTTCGTTTCTCTCATTAACTTGCTTACCTTATCATTATCTTGTTTGACTGCGCAAATATGCTTTCATGCTTTAGCAATCAAACGTCCGCTCTACTTGGATCAGAAATTTTTAATGGTGATTACCTTGCAGTTTAGTCGATTTTGAGATCAACTTTGTTCAGGGTTAATTTCAAATCCTCATCTTATCTCGCTATTTTCTTGTGACAAACCAAACATCTGGCTCAATGTCTAACACTGAGTCTGTTCTTCCTTGCAGGTCTCGATGCTTCTGAGTTGCTGCCAAACTTGCTAGTTTCCTCCGCTCGCTGCCGCTTCCCTCTTGTCCGCCTTCCACCACATCCTCATCATGACCGGGGAAGCCTCGAAGCGCAGTTCGTCTTCCCCCAAGTCCTGCAAGGAGGAGCAGAAGCGCTGGTGGAGGTGCCATCGTCGCCTCCACCTCACGGGAGGAGGCGTGTGGTGTTTGTGGTACAGCGTAGTGGTCGCAGCGTTGACGGGGTACCTCGTGTACCGAAGCGTACGGCGCTTCTTGGCGGCGGCTTCCTTACCTTGGCCCGAGGACGAGGCGCCTTATGTCGCCCTTAACGCCTATGTGGGGCTCGTGGGCGCCTCGGTGGTCGTGACGCCATTCTTACTCCTCACGTCGCTCCACAAAGTCGGCAACTTCGCAAACGATGGATTTCAGCTGGGACGCTCGCTCTCCACCTGCTCTAACGACCCGCCTGTGCTGCCCATGCCCACTCCTGGGCTCGTCAGGTGAGCCTTCAGTTATTTTTTATACCTAAGTAAGTAAGTAAAGTAGTAGTAAGGAAATAAGTAAAATATGAAAAAGTACAAGTAAGTAAAGATAAGCGATGTCTGAGCAAATGGTTGAAGTACTGTTTCGAGTGTGTGGGGCGCTCGAATAGAAGTCCTGTATCACGGTGGCATCAAGTTTCATGAGCGATGTGTAGAGATGAGTATAAGTGTACCTATAACAAGTTTTTATTCGCCCGTTTACTAATGTTACTCTAAAAAATTCACCTGAAATGTCAAGAAAAACCCCCAAATAATAATTTAATTTAGGCGAACAATCGTGTGTTATTCAATAATCCAGATTTCGCTTGTTTACAATAATCCAAATACAATAATCCGCAAAATGACTTGCACTGATGGTTGCCGTCACGTACACAACTTTAAAATGTTCTCTGTTGCGTACCAACGTCCTCAAGTTGCTACACTCAATAGTTAACGTATAATTTGAGTTGAAAGGTATGTTCCCGGAGAGTGACATACGGCGGTAGAGGGTTAAGAAATTGAATCGGCAGTTTCTTACGATTCCAAGTGTAGAACCGTAACGAATCAACCTGAAGGACCTTTAGGAATCGAAAAGAATTAAGAACTTTAGCGTAGAAACGTCAGGGCCAGGCAGGATGCACGTAGCCGGCGGCTGCCGCCCGTGAGCTCCGGTCTGCTCGGAAGCTGCGACGTGCCGCCCCTGGCGCCCCGTCTTCCGCTGGGGGGGGGGCGAGACGGGCTTATGTTTGGCTTATAATTAGTGTGACCTATACTAGGGGTGACCTGTACTCGGTGTGACCTATACTCGGTGTGACCTGTACTCAGTGTGACCTATACTCAGTGTGACCTGTACTCGGTGTGACCTATACTCGGTGTGACCTGTACTCAGTGTGACCTATACTCGGTGTGACCTGTACTCGGTGTGACCTGTACTCGGTGTGACCTGTACTCAGTGTGACCTGTACTCAGTGTGACCTGTACTCGGTGTGACCTATACTCAGTGTGACCTATATTCGGTGTGACCTATACTCGGTGTGACCTATACTCGGTGTGACCTATACTCAGTGTGACCTATACTCAGTGTGACCTATACTCAGTGTGACCTATACTCGGTGTGACCTGTACTCGGTGTGACCTGTACTCGGTGTGACCTGTACTCGGTGTGACCTATACTCAGTGTGACCTGTACTCAGTGTGACCTGAACTCAGTGTGACCTGTACTCAGAGTGACCTGTACTCAGTGTGACCTGTACTCAGTGTGACCTGAACTCAGTGTGACCTGTACTCCTGTCTCTTATACACATCTAGATGTGTATAAGAGACAGGCACCTCGCCACTGCACTGAATCACTGCACCTCGCCACTGCACTGAATCACTGCACCTCGCCACTGCACTGAATCACTGCACCTCGCCACTGCACTGAATCACTGAACGCGTGCAGCACTGCACTCGTAGGGCGTGGCAGCAGCACGCGGTGCTATCCCCTGACGGGGGGAAGGGGGAGTGGCTGGGTGGGGGGGGTCGTCCCTCAACCGAACCCGCGCTGTATTGATCGGCACTCGTGTTAGTGTGTGCTGTGTGCTGGGCTGTGTGCTGTGCTGTGTACTGGGTTATGTGCTGTATATTGGGCTCTTGGCTGTGCTGTACTGTGCTGTTCGGTACTGGGCTGTGTATAGGGTTGTTTGCTGTATTTTGGGCTGTTGGTTGTGTTGTGCTGTGTGCTGGGCTGTGTACCGTGCTGTGTACTAGGTTATGTGCTGTATATTGGGCTGTTGGCGTGTTGTGCTGTGTGCTGAGCTGTGTTATGTGCTGGTTCATGCTGTTGGCTATGCTAGGCATTGTACTGTACTTAGTTGCACATTAAACAACACCCTTTCTTCTTATCTCAACTCTCCTAATTATGTAGTACACGTCATGCTTTACCGTGAACTTTTTCATCCTAGAGCTGTACAATGTACAGTTCGGTACTTTCATGCTATACAATAGTAACGGTGTATGCTACTCTTCTAATGCTGTAAACAGCTTATCTAGTCCGTGCCATGACGACAGCACGACGTGTTCGTGATGCTGCAGAGTTCAACATAATATAATGTTGCTCATAATTTATTCATGTTGTACGCTCAGAATTACTATCCTCAGCTCCATGCGTGCTGCTTTAGGCATTTAGCTTCTATCACGTCTCCAATTCTTGAATGTAAAATTTGTTGTCGTCTAACTGTGCTCTAAATATTACGAATATTCTAACACATATCATATATATTACAAAAATATTTTGTAGGAGTAGGATGTAATGTAGGGCATGATGTAGGAGTAGGACGTAATGTAGGGCATGATGTAGGAGTAGGACGTAATGTATGGCATGATGTAGGAGTAGGACGTAATAGTAGGAGGGGGATGCTTCTATCAACTTGTGAAGGATGGGGGATTTTCAATCACCATGAGGGAGGAGAGGGAAGTAAGGGGAGGGTTGCCTCATCATACGGGTGATACTTGCATCATAATAACCGGGATACTTACATCATAACGGTAAACTTGCATCATCACAAAAATGATACTTGCGTAATCATAAAAATACTTGCATCATCATGACTCATAAGGAGGGAAAGGAGAGATCTTTCATCAACAAAAGGAGGGAAGAAGAGAGGAGGAGAGCTTTCATCCACATGAGGGGGAGAGGAAGGAGCCGCTGTCGGGGTGATGGATCTCGCGCATGTGAATTTTTAGCTGATTTTTTAAGGGGGGAGGGAAGGGGGTGAAAACCTGCGTGAATTTATAAATGATTTTTTTCCTGTTAACGCCAAAAAGATTCGTTCGGTAATGTACGAGTGTGTTGTGAACGACATTCTTGGGATGCCGCGTTAAACTTGTTCTGAAGCAACGTCGCGTATATAGAAGTTTCTTCCTGCTATGTTATATGGAGAATCGTTGAGGTGGTTCGTTAATTGAGATTCGAATGTGATTTTTAATGGTAATCATGTGGGCAAAAATATTCGATTGGAAGCGTAACAAATTTTATTAAATTTTTGCCAACTTAATCGGTTGCCGCACGGTCGTTGTGATATACTTATAGAAAGAAGAAGGCATCGCTGGGCCATCTTGTTCTCAGTTAGCCAAGTCTTTCATTATGTTCTCTATTGTATGCTGAATCATCACTACTGCTGATACGCGATGAGCTAAACCTTTAGCAAGTATCCTCGATGATCGTGAATGCAACGGGAAATGATCTATTTTATAAGTACTACAATTTAACTTATGATTTATTCTCTATGCTTATGTAATGGAATGGGTTCTTAAACCCACTGGACCGACTGTCAATTCAGCAATTATTTTTAAAGAATATTAATATGATCCTTCTTTGCGCTGGCGCGTTTTCTTTTTATTTAAATTAAATTCCATTGATGCCCAGGCTCCGTCTAGAGTCCGGTGATGTACAGTATAGGAGTATATACACCCAGCGAAAAGAAAAGTTGAGGGTTTTAGCCCCCAATCGGAAATTTCAGACGTGTTATCGGTAGACATCAGCGGCCAATGTTGCGCAACCAATAATCCCATCATTTAAATGGGACTAAGACCCCTGCGTTGTTCCATGGGGCCCAGCGTTCCCTCCTGAAAGTATGGCCCTCTTCTGGCCCTCCCTATACCCCCGCCTGCCGACACGTTCTCATGAATAACTGAGCGCGGCTGATGGCCACTCGCCATTACCGACGCTTTCAAATAAATCTATGTCCGTTTCCCCGTGCAATTATCGCCGACGCTTCCTCGCGAGCTTCGCTATAATTGACACTAGTTGAATGAACACTAAAATAACGGTTATTTGGCGATACCTACGAGCAGACGACACAAGTCTGTAAATTGCTTTTAGTAAATGTTTAAAGTGCGTGGGTATTGCTCAAGAATTTTTCGTGCTAGTGCAAGCGGAGCTGATGCTTTAAGAGTGCTGATGGACAATTAGCTGTAAAAGATTACGTCGTCCCAGGCTAAGGTATTGGAGATCCGAAGCCCCAAAATAAACGTCGTCTGAGTGCCGATGTCACGGCACTTAGTTTCGTCTCCCTGCTGTGTCATGTTATAGCAGCTGCATCACCGGGGCGAGCAAATGCCACTTTGAGTATCTCATGTTTTGATGATCTATATGCTATTATATATCACTATACTAACCTTTTATTCTTTATAAATAAGTATAAATAAAACATCAATCTCTAAAACGATCCTCTGACCACTCTCGTTTAAGAGACGACAAGATTCTGGTCAAACACAGCTGCACTGGAGTGGCTCAGGTAGAGGACAAACACATCGATGTTTGACTCTAATACAAACGCAAACACAACGCCCTCTGACGTCGCCCTTAGCGCAGCTCTTACAACGTGTCATCCATCTTGCTTCTCACTTTTATGCTCCTTGAAGTAAAGACTTTCCTTGAGACGGACGCCTTGCAAGTCTCGGGCTGGAATGAAGTCTTTCATATATGTAGCGTAAAGCGTTTCATATATGTAGCGTGTTCGTGCGCTGTCTCCTTCCGAAAGTTATTCCTGTCAAATATTGATTAATAAACTAATTGCATTGTTGAAATATAACACAAATCTTCGGATTAATATTACGTGGTACTATTATGTTACTGGAATATTTTACCTTTCATCGTTAAGTTGATTACGAAAATAAATCGCCTCTTTAAAAGAACTTGCAAAGACATTTTTTGCTTCATCCTCTATTCTACGTTCGTCGTAATCATCGATATACATTCGTTCATTGACGGATGAGAAATTTTGTATACAAGCTTTTGGATGTATCTACGTCATTCTATCGTTGATGAATTTATTCTTTACCATCAGGTTTACACCCACTGTATTGAAATACATTTCAATACTTGATGAGATTCGATCGCCGGCCACCCGCTGAATTGCAATTTTTTTTAGAATCGATGCGACTTGAAGGATGCGTTGAAATTAGTCTCCCCACCCGCTACGATGATCGTCGGGGTT